ATGGTGCCGTTGGCTTCTCTTAAAAGCCGGCAACAGGGCGCACCCTCAAACACAGGACGCCCCCCCAGGCCAATCGGAACCCGGGCCTGGGTTTCCAGGCAAGCCGATCGGACCATCTGCCTGGCCTCTGCCCGGCAGCCCGGGTCTCCGAGCATGACTTGCCATTTCCTTAAGACTTAAGAATATGTTTTAATTTTGCCCTGTTGGTTTTAAAGGGAATCTATCACTCTTGGACCTTTTTTCTTTTTTCTTTTTTTTTTCTTTTTTTTTTTTTTTTCGAGGGGTCCCTGTTGGTTTTACAGGGCTCCTTAAACAATACACATTCCCAATTAAAACATGGCTGTTTCCAAAAGAAAGGGGAACCACCATTGACAAGGCAATGTTCAGGTGTATAATGTAAGGATCCCGGTTTTAAAGGGAATCTATCACTAATGGAACTATATATATATTTTTTCCAGGGGGCTGAAGCAAACGGAAGTAACCTGTCTTGGTCTCACTTGCCCAAGCGAACCTTTTATCCAATGCGACGGTCGCCTCGGGGTCAAGCTCTAAAGCGGACGCAAGGCAACCTGTACCACACCAAGTGCCCATGTTGGGTTCCCATTTTGAGTGGCCCCGAAAGGTTGATCTGTTGTGTCTGGGTGTCTTTCTGCGGAAAGTTAGGCGCTTTGACACACGAGTCAAAAAAATGCTGGGGCTGGTCGCGGTGGACGTGGTAAACAGGTTCCTCATGTGCTGCTTTTTTCACCAGGGCCCCGAGATACAGCTTTTGTCTAAGGCCGTTGTTTGGAGGCAGGGTTCCGATTAAAACTGGTGTTTCAAGTACAAAGAACGAGCATCCGGTGGTTCTTGTCCCCATGGCCGGGTGTAAGACAGAAAGCCCTGGTCCTTGGTCCTTCGGTCTCGCCTTTTTGCTAGATGAAGCCAAGCCCTAATCCAGCCTTCAACTGATCCCGCCTCTGCATCAACCCTCAGTAGCCACAATCCCACCTTAAGCCCACCAGAAGCCAACAGCAAATCTCGTGGGAAATGAGGCATTTTGAAGGGAATTCCCTCAAAAGTGCTTTGAAGGAGGATCTTTGATCCTGATGCTCAGCTGTGCCGCTGACACAGGCGCCCTGATCGAAATGGTGAAGCATGACAACCCCGGGCTCCAGGCGGGTAAGAGAGGCCACGGACCAATTGGAGCGGGCATACTTCCGTAAGATGGAGCCCAAGAACCCAGCACATGAAAACCCGTCTCCTTCCGATCGGAATGATCCCTTTTTTGGGCTTGGTCACGAAAGTTGACTGAGCTTGGAGGACCTGAAGACGGAGCCGCTAACCATTGGGACACGAGGGGGAATCTCTGTACGCGAAGTCCATGAACCATGCGATTCTGGTAGCAGAAGGTCCGTTCGTAGAGCATATGACCAGCTGGGTGACAGCGCGATGTCTCCGGAGCAGCAATCGCTGATGGCCCCTTGGTCCACTTGGTGGACAAGCAAGTTGCCAAGATGCTCCGCCCACTTGGTCCAATGGGCCACTTGAGCAGTGGCGAAGTGGACAAAGTGGCCAAATGGAAGCACAGTGGCCAATGCGATCAAGGGCGAAATGGCCAACAGGCCACGCACTTGTCCACTTGCTCGGCAAAGCAAGTGGAAAGGTGGACCAACTGCCCACGTAGCCAAGTGACCACGGCCGCTTATCCACTTGCTAGTGGACCAAGTGGGAAAGCCAACCAAGTGGTCCCTGACTGGGCGGGCCCACGCGAGCGGGAAATGTCCGTTGTTCAATTTGGGGCCGGCTTGGCGCAAAATATTGAGCAATACAATTTATCATACAGGCCCAAGCGGGTGGGCAATGTCCACTGTCCAATTCAAGTTCGGCTACGCGAAAACTGAATAACACGACCGACTATGGAGGGGCAACGTCCATTGTTGAATTGGGCCTTGGCTGCGTGGCTATTTGAACAGCGCGACTGCCCTTGGCGGGCAATGCCCCTTGTTCAACTAGAGCTTGCCAATTGGAGGCAATGTTGCTTCCGCCGCTTGGTCCACTTGGCCGCTTGGTCCCTTTTAGCCACTTGGTCCACTTGGCCACTTACTTCGCCGAAAGCCAAGTGGCCAAGTGGCTTCGGCCCAGTTGGTCGACTTGGTGCGCTTGGCAACGTCCGCTTGGCCACTTGGTCCAACAGCATGCGGCCAAATGCCGAGTGCACAGGTTCGCTTTGGCCACTTGGTCCACTTGGTCCACTTGGCCACTTGGTCCAATGGTACATTTGGCCACTTGGCCACTTAGTCAAAGGCACGGCCAAGTGGCTTTGGCGGCTTTGGCAGCTTTGGACACTTGACCGCTTGCTGGACTTGGTCAAAAACGCAAGGGGCGTGGTGGCTTTGGCCACTTGGTCCACAGGGCCAAGTGGACGCATGTGGCCCTCAGCGATTATAGATCCCCGGTGTGCGAGCGCCAGATAACATTGGTGCATGTTGCTTGGATGTGAGGACTTTAACTTTTTGCAAACAATGGGTTTTCCATTAAACCACCAAAAGTTAAGCTTTTAGCAGGGGAGCAGAAAGCAACCGAGATAACATTGGTAAAATCAGGGACCCGTCGAGGCCGGGGTTTGGTGGCTAGCCAGGTGCGAGAGAGGCTCTTTAACCTTCACTTCGGCGCTGGGCGCCGTCTGACCAAGCAGGGAGACGCCACGGCATGAGCGCCGGCAGAGACACGAGATAAACACTACCGAGATAAGAAGGGGAGTCTTGTGGGGATATCCGATGTTCAATTCTCGATGAGCGTTGTTGGGACAAATGGAGCCCAAAGAAATTGCCGAGCATAACATGTGCCCATAGAAGATTTCCTTGTTAGAATTGGGCCTTTCCCTTGTTGGGTGCCACGTAAATTTGCAGGGGAGATGGTGATCCATACATGAGGCGCGGTCTCATGCATTCGCCCTAAAACGGGAGCTGCAGGGGAGAAGCAGCTTGGGGACTGCGGGCAGAAAAGGCGCGAATGTGTCTTGCTGTTTTGGGTTGTTCAAAATCAATCCAGAAGGTCCCAGTTGGGATGGGTGGGGGTTCCTTGTAATCCCACTACGGAATAGGATAAGAGATCCCCAATTTTGAGCAGCCCAGACTGTGAGAGTGCATGCGGTGTTGCAACTGAGCATAGGGACCAAAGTCAGTTCCAGATAGTTTACCAGATTGTGGAGGAAAGTCAGTCAAATGATGCCAGGTTGTAAGACAACTTTGCTCTGAACGGTGCTTTCAGCCGACTTGAGCTGAAATGTACAGTTGCTGTGCATGGTTGGTTGCACTGCTCTTTTGCATCAAAGGTGACAATCACACAAGTGTACGTTTCTCGTAGCAGAGCAAGCGTCAAGAAGCAAATACATTCCGAACCTTCAACGCTGCTCCCATATTGTTGGTCATGCAGGTGTTGCACAGTGAGAAGGGCCCAACTTGCTGCATGCGCACTGGCTGTCATGAGTTCATCGCTGGCTGTCATGTTCATCAATCCGCTCTTTCACTGCCAGCAAAACCAGGCCAATCCAATCACAATAATAATCGTGGTGGTTCCCTGCCATTTGCTTAGGCTTTTGGTCATTTTGGTCTTTAGGGTTTAGTGGGGGTCTCCATTCAACCCACTCAAAGTTAGTCACTTTTACCAGGGGATCTGACAGCCCAGCAATCCAGTTGCCATCGGTTTGATCCGAAGCCTCGGATTTCAGTAGGTCAAGTCACCCTTGGCCCCGGGCAACGGAAAATGGAGTGCCAAGGCTTCGGACGCCGGGGCGCAGATGTCCACGTGGCTGTCAATAAGGAAACCCCTTTTTGGGGTTGGTTTTAAAGCAGAACAAAAAGGAAAACCACCATTTTAGCGATCCCGGCTTTTTTTTGAGACACACCCACGTGAATGATGTCTACACAAAGTATTAAACAACACATAATGTAAGCAAGAAAGCAAAACATGTACCGTGGTTGTGTTGTTTACCAACTTCAAGGTTCTTGGAGGCTTGCAGATATATGTTTGTGTACGGCCGCGCCTGGCAAGCGACGGGAGGACATGCAGTGGATGCGCGACCGGCTCTTCAATGTGCCTTTTGGCCTTGTAGAGGCGAAGGAAATGAAGCCGCCGATCGGGATTGCCATGGATGAAACCCGACCAAGCCACCTATATCCACTCTGGGTGAATTATAGCAACCTCAGACGGCCTCACCCAAAATGGTGGTTTACGCGGGGAATAGCCCCCCAAACCACCTGAATTATTTCAGGCTGGTGAAATATTGTAATTCGCCCAGATCCACCGGTGCCTGGCGTGGATCTCGTACACTGCAGCATTCCGAACATCAACCGTATGTTAACCTAGGTTACTGGGCGAGGATTTCGAGCAACCCAACAGATCCGGAGGGGGGGGGGGGTGGTAAATCTAGCGTAACCCCGTGTTGTAGGTCCTTTTGCCTGGGTATCCGATTCTTGCTTCAGGTGTAAAAAGTGCAGCATCAGGTGTCAGAAACATCTTGAGACACCTAACTAATTCAGAACCGTAGCAAGGGGAGCCGTTTCTACTAGGGGAGACTATGAGTGATTAATCGTGACTATCAACAGTGGGCATTGCAAGGGATTACCTCACCATGGTTAGGCAGAGTCCGAAGGCTTTGCTACCGAGCCTTCAACTCCCATGAGTCGATTCTTTCTTGGGCTTGATTCAAGGGGAAAGCTGAAGCACATTTCAAGTCCTGAAGCGCCTTCCGGTGTGTACAGTTGCAAAAACCCGGAGGCCCAGTTCTGAGAACAACCCGTCCGCTGGGCTTGGTCCGCCCTAGATTTCCCTTTTTGCTGGATTTAACCATCACCTGTTTGGCCCATGTATGGTGAGCTTCCCTTTATAGAGGTGTTTTGTTTGATTAGAGGGAAGCCTGCCATGATCAGCACTTCCTTGTTTGCAAGCCTGTTCACAGCTCAACGTGCCCGCCTCAAACCAGCAATCCCCTTCTTTATAGCATGCAGAAGTTTAAAGAGGCGGACTTCATGTCGGACCACTATCGGGTTCAGAGGCCATCCTTGTGCCTCATTTCCCACGGTCGCAGACCCTCAAAGATGAGAAGATGGTGAACGACCTGAAAGCCATCCTTTGCACCAAGGCCCTCGGCTTGAGCGAGCGAGTTATGTGTTAGGGTTGCGCCTTTGGCCTTTGGGGTTGTGTTTTTGAGGAGGGAACCGATTTTTACGGTTGAATGAGAAGGGTTCTTGGGGGTCACCCGTTTTGTTAAGACATACCCCTAGCACCAAAACAATCCAGGCTCGAAACATGTGTGCGTGTGTGTGTGTGGGTGTGGGTGTGTGTGTGTGAGTGCGTGTGGGCGCGTGTGGGTGCGTGTGGGTGCGTGTGGGTGCGTGTGGGTGCGCGTGGGTGCTTGTGGGTGCGCGTCGGTGCTTGTGGGTGCGTCTGGGTGCGTGCATGTGGGTGCGTGTGTGCGTGTGTGCGTGTGTGTGCGTCTGTGAGTGTATGCGTGTGTGCGTGTGTGTGTGTGGGTGTGTGTGTGTGTGAGTGCGTGTGGGTGCGTGTGGGTGCGTGTGGGTGAGTGTGGGTGCGTGTGGGTGCGTGTGGGTGCGCGTGGGTGCGTGTGGGTGCGTGTGGGTGCGTGTGCGTGCGTGTTGGTGCGTGCATGTGGGTGCGTGTGTGCGTGTGTGCGTGTGTGAGTGTGTGCGTGTGTGCGTGTGTGTGTGTGTGTGTGGGTGCGTGTGGGTGCGTGTGGGTGCGCGTGGGTGCGTGTGGGTGCGTGTGGGTGCGTGTGCGTGTGTGTGTGGGT